ACATATGTTTTAAACAAATATAAAATATGAGTTGGATAAGCGAGCCACTCAAGGCTGAAGGTTACTGAATGTGGCTGTTGTATGGACTTCAAAGGGGAGTAATGTGCTGCTCATTAAGATATGTAGAATTTATAAAAAAGAACTGAGCATAGACTTGAAGAGGTTAAGACTATAGTGACTGAGGAAACATCCTCTCAGGAATCTGATCCACAGAATTTAAGTTATCGGTAAGAAACTACATAGAATACGATGGGAATTATCCTACTTCGAAACATTATACGCGTCATGTCATGTCATAGATTTCAATGTCTAACAGGTGAAATAATTGAATATACCTGGCATGGCGAATCCAGCTGTAAATGTCGTAGGAATAATTAATGGATGTCGTCTAAACATTTGCCATGGAAATAGCGATAGATTTGTGATAAACCTGTTTTGTTTCTGTAGTGGAAATGGTACTGTAGGGTTGAACATAATTAATCACAGAGAAGGAAACCTGAAATCACTTTATATTTCATAAGAATTTATGAAACTAATAGTATTTTATAAGATAGTAAAAACAATCCTGTGTAAATCCATTTTGCCCAAATTTCAGAGTCGACACGACATTGAATATCAACTTAATTAAGGCTTACTCCATAAGTAAAAGAAGCACACTGTACAATGTGTAGAAGGTTTGATGAAGGCTAAATTAGTGGCAGTTCTGTGAAAATGATGAAAACCATCTCCTGTATCGAGATTCCAGACACTGTATTCAAGCCAAGGATTTAGGAGTACCCAAACACTTCCCAAGAACACTATCCTCTCTCTCGATCAAAAGAGTTGCTGATCTAGATCATGTCAATCCCACATTTTTTTTAATACCGCGGAGCTATACGTGTGAGGTGTTAAGAGAAGGTCATACAGAGTTTCCCAGACATGAATGATTCTTTGAAGATATTAGCTTTTTAGGCCGCTAAGAGGCTGAGTGCATTTTATACGGATTAACTATTTTGAATATATTCTCAGTATTATCTGTTTTGTATGTTTATTATACTTTATAATTCGATCTGTACTCAATTACATGCTACATAGGTGCAGCATAATCAATTATTGATTTAATGATGAAATAAACATTGTTTTTTTACGTTTTTTCTTTATGATAGTTTATTATGTCAAGTCTTGACGGACTCAAAATTTATTTTTCGGAAACTCAACGAAAATATTACTTGCACCAAAACAGCGTTAAATTTTTAGTGTGTCCGTGAACTCCTTCTTGAGGCGACACCATAGCGACTACCAAAGACAATGTATATCTCTCCAAAATTTGTTACTAAACTTTGGTATTCTCCTTCACTAGTTCTGAAAATCATTTGCGATGTTGAATCCTCAGAAACAACAGCAGACCGAACCATGTCAGCAGTTGTTTTTTTTTTTTTCTATCGCTTTAAATATATTACGACTCCTTCAAAAACGGATCCTGGTGAAGTGGCATCATCTCTAAACATTTTGCTTTTTAACCACAGCTTCCACAGCGAAAGATTTCTCGTCCAACTAAACGAAGAATTTATCCGGGGCACACTGCATCTCGTTTCTTCCCTCTGCCATGTCGTTATTGCTTGGAGGCACTTGAGAACATCTGACATTTTTGAAACATTTATGGCTTTAACCCCGAATCATCTTTCACAATCCAATTTAACGACCTATTAGAAATATCCATATATATTGACATCTTCCACATACATCTTCGTGAATTCGTATTTACTTTCTCCTTGAAGATATAATAATTCTCCTGGTACCAAATGACGGTTGCTTTCTGGAAATGGAATTTGTCTTGTTTGTCTTCTTTAAGCGTTTTTTTTTTTTTCACACAGGTTTCTTGTTAACCTTCACATGTTTTAACACCCCATAATTCCTAATGCTATTTTCAATGCCACAATTTGATCACGTTTTGTTTGATCCATCATATTTAATTAAACTATAAACAATAAAGTTTTAGGAAGTCTTATGCAACACTTGAAACTAGTTTTAAAAATGTTTCACTTAATGTTGAAACAATGGGTAAATTTTCACACGGCAGCTCAGTTATAAACAAAATAAACAAGCATATATTCAAATCCCCCACAAATGTGTCACAATTGACTTGTCGCTACTCCGAAACGAATTAATCTTCTTTTTTTTAAATCAATTATTGATGTCTGCATAAGGACAGAAAAAAATCAGTAAATACACAAAACATAGAAAGAAGAGTACGACAAAAATGTTTCCTCATCGGAACTATTTACAGCTGTCCGAGCCTGAGAGAACCAGACATTTTTCTAGGATCCATCAATGGCCGACACAAACTTAACTTAAGATATACAGACTACAATGATAGCAAACACAAGAAAACCACATGGAATCAAGGAAAGACAGTGGAGGTCGCCAAAGAAAGTGAGACGAAAAGACAAACCTTCAACTGTAAGAAAAGAAAATGAATGATTGTCTGTTAGAACAGCCGAAGAAGCGAAATATGAATTGCAATCATGAAAATATAAATATATGAAGGGTTTTTAAAAATAGGATGGAAAATGTGACATCTGAGTCTGTGGGCGCATTGTATTAATGAAAGATCGGTTCCAAAAGCTTAGCAAAGTCATTATAAAATTGGGTTAGAAAAAAACTGCTCAGCTGTTATGTACTATCGATCTTCTTTAATGACAGTGAATATTGGAAATTCTCCTCAAAGATGAGGATAGAACTTGAGACAACAGAGATATGGTTATACATACTAAAAGGACGTTAAACGGACGATTATAATTAGAATCAGTAAGATAAAATTCGTGAGTGAGGGTGAAAAGTCAAATCATACTAAGAACTACTAAGAACAGGAAGTTTTAGAAAGCTAGAGTTCTGAAGTGACACGGCACACAGAAAGTGAAGATAATAATTAAACCCTGGAATAATGTATCTTTTATTATTTTGATATGCTGTTTTCTAATATCCTCTTAAGTAGCCAAGAAATAATCGATTCATTTTATGCTTTTATTTTGATGATCCTTAAACTGTGATTTACACATCTAATTACATAGCAGAATTTGAAACATTCGTAGTAAAATGACTGAATGCATATTTACAAAATTGAATTAATTTTATGAGTTTCCTAAAATCATTAATAACGTTATCATACATAAACTCGTATAAATTTAATTCCTTTGTGTATCAGCTCTTAAATAATTGAAAAAATACAGATAAATGCCATAATTAATTTTCTCAGAGAAAAAAAAATCAAATGGGAAGGGTAATGTTAGCGGTTTCCTTATAAAGAAAAGTCCGTTATTTATTGACACAGCAGCCAGTATTACCATCGGTTAAAATTTATGAAATCTTGTTCTTAATGCAGTTTTTGCAGGAAAGTTCCCAGTAACTCTTATCGATCTTTCCAATATAAATGTGGGTTTCTTTTCAAACTTTTTGTTTGAAGTAGTGTGGATTATCAACCTTTTTATCATATCATTATTTTCTCTTCGAGTTACTAGTGCTAGCCATTTTAATTATTACTGTTTTTCAACGTAATCAATTAATGTGGTTACGCTGTGGTTCTGTAGCACCAGTCCACAATTTTCGAAGATGTATTACCTTTATCCGCTCAAAGACATTTGAACCATTGCGCTCAGAAAGCGCTTGTATAGAGCTGACAGTGTACATATTTCTGAACAGGCTTAATACATTGCATGACATTCATATGACAGTTTTGATCTGACTATCTACTAACAACAATAAAGATGAGGATTTTAGTACGATTTTAAATAATGTAAATAAAATTACAGCGACAAAACGCTTAGCGGAAAGATGTGGATAGAGAAAAATATAGATAAACAGATATATATAACTTCTTTTTGAAATGAACCAATTATATAATCTTAATACAGAAATAAAAAAAAATCAAGTGCAGTGGCATATTACCACACCTCTTGAAAGTTCTCACTTTTTTAATTCAAAAAATTTATTCGAGTTTTCTTTCCGCTTTCCAAGATATTTTTTTCAAGAGAGATTTCTAGTGTCGATTCATGCGATTTAATTTCATCCACGATCTTGAATCTCGTAATTAGAGGTGATTTTATCTTCGCAAAATGGGAAAAATTTAAACTATAAAAGAGGGAAATCCTGGAAGATCCTGAGTAATATATTCTGCTCACCTACCACCAAAATTAAAACTTTGTATAAAATATAAAGAACATTTTTACAAAGGTATTCAACACGAATGAATGACTTCAAGACAATTTGAGGAATCCTCGAATTAAATTCTTACAGTCAATAACTCATTTTTTGGCAGACCGTCCGAATGTAACTTTTTCAGCTCATTTCTACTTTAAAAAATGCAAATTATTAGGTCGAGTCATAAATAATTTCCGATATTTGTTTATCAGTTTGATCCTTCAAAGAAAAAGTGAAATTCTTTTTTTTTTATTCGATTGGGTTATGAATTGGTCATAATTTGCAATGAATTATTACCACTTGTCAGGGAGCTTATATTTGAGTAAATATCTCGAATTTTAACGTAAAGACTTTTTCGATAAATTATTGAATCTGGTTTTAATTATATAATATTTGCCTCAAAGTGTTTTGCAGCGATCTAAAGTTAATAACCAACTGGTGTAAGCTGAATATAGTATAGCTTATAGGATAGTACGGACTAATTGGGTCCTGAAAATTTTCCAGTCTTATTCTTGCAGTACGCGGCCTTGCGTTGTCATAGTGAAAAACAACATTTAACTTTTATCCATTGTGTACACTGCCATGAAAAACTTCAGCTATTTTAATGTCCTCCAAATTTGTTCTTTACTTATTTATTTTTTTACAGCTTATTAAACTTTTTGTAGATTATTTCAAGTCATCATTTTTTTAAATTGTTAAAATGAATTCGGGATAATAATAAATCAGCTATACAATTATTACTAATTAATTATTTGCGCGTCAAATTTATTTGCGCCAAATTGACTATAACGAACCCAACTGGAAATCGGCTCTCCGACCAGGACTTACATCGCATGGTATTCCCAATCAGTCACCCATCTAAGTTCTGACCACGGTCGACGTTGCTTGACTTCCGTGAACATACGGGAACTGATGTTCTTAAAGTGATATGGCCGTAAGCCTTCACATTAATTCTAAACTGCCACGTATGCTTAGTACTTTGAATACGACATTCGCCATTGTAATTATTTTGCAAAAACCGAAATTACTTATGATTCAAAAGGATATTATATTTTCTTTCATAATTTCGTCATGAAAGAATAATATATATATATATATATATATATATATATATATATATATATATATATGTGTGTGTGTGTGTGTGTGTGTGTGTGTGTGTGTGTGTGTGTGTGTGTAATATCAGTTCCGTAAATGGAAAGGATAATTCAAGTTGTTCTTTCTAATTTGAAATATGAAAGATAAAGATGCGGGATAACTCAATATATAGAATACAGAACAATATGATATACATCATGGAAAAGCTTAACGCATCAAGAAAATACGGAATTCTAAATCATGATTTATTACAACCAGTAAGTCTTATCGGTTCGAAGATGTAAATGGTATAAATTTCCACATAATGGCTTAAAATTATCCAGACAAAAAATTATATATATATTTATAAGTTTGTGTGTGTCTGTGCGTGAGATAAACGGAAAATAAACATCGTCTTTTCTATCTATATATCTCAAGTTTGTAGACGATTATGTCGACAGATGTATGTTTATTTTATTCTTAGTGAAGATAGTCTTGTTATTTCTCTTTAGTTTTGAATTTAGAGTATTTTATTTTTTGTTTGAGCGCTTTAGAAACAAGTCTCCTTGGCTTTGGACTGATATTCTTAACATTTCTATTGACAATTGTACCAGTGAGGTACGTATCTCTGGTCAGAGCCAGCATAGATTCTTTTTGTACCGACTCGGAAATACAAGGTAGAATCTAAATACTCTCCATGGTTCACACCGGCCTGTCCAGCCGCCATAACCCACAGGAACTATTTTCCGTTTATACCAACATGAGAGTTCCGATCAAAACAGACACATATTTATAGATGCACGTAATAAATGTAAACTTATCCTCTACACCGCTAATTTTTGTTTGATGATAGAATGACGCACTGTATAGCCTGTAACAATTTTGGCACGCCTTACAACTGGAAGGTTCTATAATAGTGTATTAAATAAGCGTACGTTTTCTATTCTCCCCTTTACCCATTCAATTTGTGGTGCAAATATCTTCTGCTGATAAATCAGATTGTTTTGCCCGTATGTTCTCTGCAAACACCAAACTTGACTCATCTGAATTATCCCTGCCTTACTCTCCACTTAGAACTGAGTCTCTATTGAGTGATATGCATATCATTCTCCTCCATTGTATCATTTCTAATCTGAATCCGCACAAAGCATGTGGGTCTGATGCTATCCTGGTAATAGACTTTATGAAATGTGCTCCCAAAAATGTTCATGTTCTCTCTAAACTGTAAAATAAATGACTCGCTTCCTCTTGCTTCTCTACTTAGAAATCCTCTTCATTTGTACCAGTTTTTAAGAAATCAAGTGCACTGTCTAACCTCTTGAACTCTCGATCTATTAGCCTACTACTACTTTTTGGCAATCTTCACATCGCAAAGATTCCTTTTAGACTAGCAATATTGATTTCGCTTCTCTTGGTCAATTGGAGATTTACTAAAAATTATTGCTGAAAGAGTCTGTCAAGCATTAGATAAACTTGGTGAAGCTCAGGCTGTTGCTTAGGGTATCTCGAAAGCGGTTCTTTTCCACAAGTTAAAACGTTATGTTATTTCTGGATGAATTTTTGAAATGATTAAGTCCGTTTTATCTACCCGTGAAATGAAAATTGTCCTAAATGGCCAAGGTTCAAGATTTTTATTTTTATTTATGAAGGTGTTCCCCAGGACTGTATGTTTGGACCTACTTTATTACTTATTTTCATCAGTGACCTTCCTAAAGACAATAGTTCCCAACTTAGTCTCTATACTGGTGACATAATCAATTTAATCTGGTCTTGGAAATAAGTCTGATCGGATACGGTCAAATTGGCAGGTGCTCTAAACAATGACCTACTGTTTGTTGTTAACTGAAGCAAGGAATGGCTTGTTAATTCTAATGCCTCCAAAAAGAAATCATCTCTCTATTAATTAATTGAATATCCATTCCTGCCTTCCATCAGCATGGGTGATGTTGACTTCTATATGAGTGACTCGTGCCTTAGCGGTCTAACATTCTCGGCTGATATGAATTGGAAAGACACTATTCGTTCATTTGTGACATTCAAGATAATATTTCTCGTCAGAAATTATCCTGCATATTTATAAGCCATAATTCGTCGATGCTTTCAATATTGCTGCCTCATCAGATACGGTGCTTCTGCTATATATTTACAGATTGCTGATAAAATCCAAATGCGAATCAGCAATATTGGTTGTCCGGACCTGGCGTCTGGTATTCATTCACTTTCCAACCGACGTAATCAAGCTTCCCTATGACTTTTTTTATAATGTCATGGTAATTATTTCGATAAACTCTTTGCTACGATAGATAGACACTGTGAATTTAGGCGTAGCACTAGATTACTCTCAGCAATTCACAGCTGTATATCGCTAGACGTAACCGTAAATTCTATCGCAACAAGTGAGAAAAGATATGATTTCTGCTTCCACCAAGTACATTTCTACGAAAGGAATCCTAATAGATTTCCTGACAAAATGGCGTTACAGTTTTCGCGTCCATTATATATCTTTTTTTCAATTTTACGAAATTATGAAGTATTGTACATTAAACGCAGCGCCACATTAGTTCATATAACGAGCAGTTGTTTATGGAATAATGAAAAATAATTATGGAAAATGATTAACAACAAACTTCCGTACTTAATTATTCTCTTCTTGTTATAAGCAAACTTTAACTTCTGACCAGTTGGCTTGATATATAAGACGTTCATCTTGTGGATAGATGCTTACCGAGTGAAACACGAGCAATGTTTGCGTATAAACTCAAGTAGAAAGACGACCATTTTCGTTTTGTGCATTAAATCTCGGATACTACTACTAATACTACTACTACTATTAATAATGATAATAATAATAATAAGTAGAAGAAGAAGAAGAAGAAGAAGAAGAAGGAGAAGAAAAAGAAGAAGAAGGACAACAACAACAACAACAACAACAACATCATACTTGGGTCTCATGTCTTGTGGTCTTGATTGTAGGTGTTAAAATATAGCTTTATTTGGTTAGATGAGGCGTGATGGGCTACAGCAAATACCCCATTCACTACGCAATGTTTGCTTGTAAGCTGTCTGACCTTAGGAATTTGGTCATGTCACAAATTTGTGCATATATGAAGGAGTATATAAGGAGCATCATGGCCGGATGTCGAAACGGTTTTATTTTTAAGCTTGAAAATAACTTGTGAATCACATATCTAAACATATAAGACACCTTCAGTCAGAGGCCCTCTTAGTGGAATGAGTCACCAAACTAGAGGTTATTTTTAATTCTGTTCTAGCTGCATATTTATGCATTGCTTTTGTCAAAACCTCGGACAATGTTGGCGATATGTAGCTGCGTTGTATGTAATTTTTGTACACTAACCAGGCTGTCTTACGCCAATATCTTATTGTTGGCATGATGGCTATGGGAGAAAAAGTTCTCCTTCTTCTGTTGTTGTGGCTTTTCATTCTATGTGCCGTGTCGCTTCAATACGTTGGCGATCATGGCTCTCCGCAATTTCTTGAACTTTGTAGATCTTTATAACATTTGGATTTTTGTTATGTCTCTTAAAATTTACCTAAACTTGCTCGTTAGGTTATGCGTTGTTTTCCTGTTTCTCATGCCTTCAATCTATCATGTGAGTATCAAATTTTCCAAACTGTATTTCCTCGTCATGTGTACTATAAATTTCAACTGTCCCTTCCTGATATTAAACATCAGAGTCCTTTTTGTTTCCATTTTGTCAAAAATCGTATTCACAATTTAAATCTATGGCAATCTCCGCACATTTCTGTCGACCTACAGTTCTGTTGCTTTCAGTTTCTTCTTCATCCCTGAGGAGGAGTATTCTATGCCATATAAAAAGATTCTATATTACGTAACAGTTCAGTATAGTTTTCTTTATTTCTAAGGGAGTATGTTTGTTTCTAATGCTTTGCTTTGCTTCAATTTTCAGTGTCGTACTTTGCGTCCTCCGTTAAAACTCTTTCTGTACTCTTATATTTCTCGTTTATTTAATAATATATTCGGCACAACAATCTTACTTATTATAATACGCAGATTGTGTGTGTGTGTGTGTGTGTGTGTGTGTGTGTGTGTGTGTGTGTGTGTGTGTACGTTTATATATTGGATCGGATTTCCTACATTTTTCAACCGATTTCAACAAAACTTCACAGGACTGCGTAAAATTACCTTGCGGTGGTTCTGACAGCGCCAAAAATTGGAAAAACAATTGTTTTTGCACGAAATCAATTTGAAAACACGATAAAATACGATTCTGTTGCCAGAATGAAAGGGGGACAACTCATATCGAGTTATACTTATTATAAAACCCAGGTTGTTTGTGTGTGTGTGTGTGTTCGTTTATATATGGGATTGGATTTCCTACATTTTTCAATTGATATCAACAAAACTTCACTTTTTTTTTGGCAGGTAGTGTTTCTTATTGTCTTGCATCCTTTTTTCTTTATTTTTACATTCAGAATGCTTTAAAAATTCCATTTACAAGTCAATTGTTTATAATAAAATTCTATTCAATCGATAGACTCATAACGATTGGAAACAATGTTTTTGTTTGAGTTTGGGTTTGACCAATTCATAAAAAAAAAAAAAAAAAAAAATTAAAAAAAAATTAAGACATGCGTGTCCGTCAACCTTAAACAATAATCTTTGTCAATTTTATTTTTCAGTCTTTATGATGGTCGATACTTGATCTATCTCTTACTGTTACATCCCCGGGCAACGCCGGGCTCTACTGCTAGTTGTTTATATGACGGTAAATTAACCTAACGTAAATTTAACGTAAATTTAATCCACGCGCTACGTGTTTAATAATTTTCTGAATTAAATACTTTTTACAATAAATATATGTCTGCTAACTCATGA